GTCTGCACAAAATTTGTGCAGAAAAAAAGAATAATAATAATAATAATAATAAGCTTGAAAAAGAAACCTAAGAATAATAGAAGGGTCTTCCGCGGAAGACGGAAGACCCTAATAATAACTAGATGCGATCTCGTTGCGAGCAACGAGTGGGTCTTCCGTCCGATTTTCGATAAGATGAGATAAGAATTTGACTGAGATTTTCGTTTAGAAATATTGATTTAAGTAAATTGTTAAGACGAACACTTTTGCTTCAGTAATGTGTAACAAAATATTGATCATTAAAAAGAAATAGATAAGTAAAGACTTTCGGCCCATCTTGGCCCCTTATAAGAGTGGTCAGCCCCTTTTCTTGATACAATCTTAAAACTGGCCCTTCAACTCCCTAATGGGGACGTTTAGCAAAAATTGAAAGGTTATATATTGTTCAGAACATTATTTTGAGTATCTTTTATTCAATATTGCTTATCAGAACATTTCCCACTTTCGAGATATAGAGTGCCAAAGATTTGGCATTCTGGCCCTTTTGGACCCTAATTATGTAACATGTGATGTAAATATCATAATATATAGTTGAAAATTGTTGGGATAAACATTTTTGTTTCAGTAATGAATTACAAAATATTGTTCATTAAACAGTTATTGATTAAAAACTTTTAGTCCCTCTGGGCCCCTATTTTGAGGGGCCAGCCCCTTTTTCTTTATACCACTTTAAAGCTCTCATGATTTTGAACATTTTTTGTTCAACAACTATTTAGAAATTCTTTTTCGTTTCCGAGATATTTGCAAAAGAAGTATTTAGGGGCCGGCGCTTCAACTCCTTAATGGGGATGTTTATCAAACACTAAAAGGTTGCATATTGTTCAGAACATTATTCTAAACATCTTTTGTTCAGTATTGCTTATCAAAATATTTCCCACTTTTGAGATATAAAGCGTCGAAGATTTGGCATTCTGGCCCCTTTTGGTCCCTAATTATGTAACATATGACATAAATATTATTATATATAGTTGAAGATTGTTAAGATAAACATTTTTGCTTCAGTAATGTATACCAAAATATTGATTGTGAAAGAGTTATTGATTTAATACTTTTGGCCCCTTTCAGCCCCTATTTTGAGGGGCCAGTCCCTTTTTCTTCATACCACTTTAAAGCTCTCATGATTCTGAACACTTTTTGTTCAAGAACTATTCAGAAATTCTTTTTCGTTTCCGAGATATATGCGACAGATATATTTAGGGGCTGGCCCTTCAACTCCTTAATTGGTACGTTTAGCAAAAAATGAAAGGTTGCATATTGTTTAGAACATTATTTTGAACATCTTTTGTTCAATATTGTTTATCAAAATATTTCCCACTTTTGAGATATAGAGTGCCAAAGATTTTGCATTCTGGCCCCTTATGGCCCCTAATTATGTAACATATGATGTGAATATCATAATATATAGTTGTAAATTGTTGAAATAAACATTTTTACTTCAGTAATGCATTACAAAATATTGATCATTAAAGAGTTATTGTTAAAAGACTTTCGGCCCCTTTCAGCCCCTATTATGAGGGGCCAGTCCCTTTCTCTTCATATCACTTCAAAGCTCCCATGATTTTGAACACTTTTTGTTCAACAACTAGTCAGAAATTCTCTTTCATTTCTGAGATATTTGCAAAAGAAATATTTAGGGACCGGCCCTTCAACTCCTTAATGGGGACGTTTAGCAAAAAATGAAAGGTTGCATATTGTTTAGAACATTATTTTAAACATCTTTTGTTCAATATTGCTTATCAAAATATTTCCCACTTTTGAGATATAAAGCGTCAAAGATTTAGCATTCTGGCCCCTTATGGCCCCTAATTATGTAACGTATGATGTGAATATTGTAATATGTAGTTGTAAATTGTTGAAATAAACATTTTTGCTTCAGTAATGCATTACAAAATATTGATCGTTAAAGAGTTATTGATTTAATACTTTTGACCCCTTTTGGCCCCTAATATGACGAGTCAGCCCTTTTTTCTTGATATCATGATAAAGATCTTGTCATTCTGTACAAATATTGTTCAGTATGTTTTAACAAAATAATTATACTTTAAAAGATATTATACAAAATGTCTCAAAAATTCATTCATGATTTGTGCCCTAAATTTCGGCCCCTACCGAGCTTCCATACTATGCACTTTCGGAAAATATCTAAACCCAGGTGCATAATGGCAACATGTCCTCTATCATCACTGAAAATTTCAGCGCTCTAGCTTAAGCCGTTTTTGAGTTCCATCACAGACAAGCAGGTCCTCTGAATTTTAATAAAAGGGCGATAACTTCCGACCGGAAGTGATTTTTCAAATTTTGAAATGCCGGTACAAACTTCAGATGATAAGACATAAACTCTGAAAATTTGAAGTAAATCGATCAATTCCTCTCCGAGAAATCTTCTGCACAAAATCGGTAAGGAGAAAAAAAAGAAGAATAACCAGATGGTTCTCGTTGCGAGCAACGAGTGGGTCTTCCGTTTGATTTTGGATAAGATTAGTCAAGATCTTGACTAAGATATTCATCTGTAAAAAGTAAAAGGATGCATATTGTCTAAAACATTATTCTGAGCATCTTTTGTTCAATATTGCTTATCAAAATATTTCCCCTTCTCGAGATATAAAGTGTCAAAGATTTAGCATTCTGGCCCCTTATGGCCCATAATTACGTAACATTTGATAAAAATTTTATAATATATAGTTGCAGAATGTTAAGATAAACATTTTAGCTTCAATAATTTATAACAAAATATTAATCATTAAAGAGTTATAGATGAATGAATTTTGGCCCTTCTGAGCCCCTAATGTGAGGGGTCAGCCCCTTTCTCTTGATATCAAATGAAAGGTCTTGTGATTTTGAAGACTTTTTGTTCAACAACTATTCAGAAATTTCCTTTCGTTTAAGAGATATATAGAATAACAATATTTAGGGGCCAACCCTCCAAGTCCTTAATGGGGATGTCTTGCAAAAATTAAAAGGGTGTATATTGTTAAGAACATTATTCTGAACATCTTTTGTTCAATATTGCTTATCAAAATATTTCCCCTTCTCGAGATATAATGTGTCAAAGATTTAGTATTCTGGCCCCTTATGGCCCTTATTACGTAACATATTATCAAAATTTTATTATATATAGTTGCAGAATGTTAAGATGAACATTTTTGCTTCAATAATTTAAAACAAAATATTAATCATTAAAGAGTTATAGATGAAAGATTTTTGGCCCTTTTGAGCCCCTAATTTGAGGGGTCAGCCCCTTTTACTTGATATCAAATGAAAGGTCTTGTGATTTTGAAGACTTTTTGTTCAACAACTATTCAGAAATTTCCTTTCGTTTAAGAGATAAATAGAATAACAATGTTTAGGGGCCAGCCCTCCAACTCCTTCATGGGGACGTTTAGCAAAAATCAAAAGGTTATATATTGATCACATCATTATTTTGAACATCTTTTATTCAATATTGCTTATCAAAATATTTCCCACTTTCGAGATATAGAGTGCCAAAGATTTGGCCTTCTGGCCCCTTGTAGGCCCTAATTATGTAACATGTGATGTGATTATCATAATATATAGTTGGAAATTGTTGAGATAAACATTTTTGCTTCAGTAATGAATTGCAATATATTGATCGTTAAAGAGTTACTGATTAAAGACTTTTGGCCCCTCTCAGCCCCTATTTTTAGGGGCCAGTCCCTTTTTCTTCATACCACTTTAAAGCTGTCATGATTTTGAACACTTTTTGTTCAACAACTATTCAGAAATTCTTTTTCGTTTCTGAGATATTTGCAAAAGATATATTTAGGGGCCAGCCCTTCAACTCCTTAATGGGGACGTTTAGCGAAAATCAAAAGGTTAAATATTGTTTAGAACATTATTTTGAACATCTTTTATTCAATATTGCTTATCAAAATATTTCCAACTTTCGAGATATAGAGTGCCAAAGATTTGGCATTCTGGCCCCTTTTGGCCCCTAATTATGTAACATATGACATAAATATTATAATATATAGTTGTAAATTGTTATGATAAACTTTTTTGCTTCATTAATTTATACCAAAATATTGATCGTTAAGGAGTTATTGATTTAATACTTTTGGCCCCTCTCGGCCCCTAATATGATAAGTCAGCCCTTTTTTCTTGATATCATATTAAAGATCTTGTCATTCTGCACAAATATTCTTCAGTATGTTTTAACAAAATAATTATACTTTAGAAGATATGATACAAAATGTCTCAAAAATTCACTTATGATTCGTGTCCTAAATTTTGACCCCTACCGAGCTTCCATACTAGGCACTTCCGGAAAATATCCAAACCCAGGTGCAACATGGCAACATGTCCTCTATCATCACTGAAAATTTCAGCACTCTAGCCTAAGCCGTTTTTGAGTTCCATCGCAGACAAGGAGGTCCTCTAAATTTTGATAAAAGGGCGATAACTTCCGACCGGAAGTGAATATCACTTAACGAAATTGCCGGAATTAACTTCAGATATCAACGCATCTACCATGAAAATTTGAATGAAATCGAACGAGCCATCTCCGAGAAATCGTCTGCACAAATTTTGTAAGAAGAAAAAAGAATAATAATAAAGGTAAAAAAGAAACCGAAGAATAATAGAAGGGTCTTCCGCTGAAGACGGAAGACCCTAATAATAATAGGGAAAAAGAAACCGAACGAAAACAATAAGGTCTTCCGTTGGAGACGGAAGACCTTAATTAATCATGACTCAGTTTTTAGTTCTACAACACACACCCATGCACACACACACACACCCCCTCACACCCTCACACACACTTTTTAAATGATCTTTTAAAGTTCAAAAATCATGATTGGTGTAGGGAAAACGTATCTATTTACCAAAATCTTTATCTACGAATTCCAACCATTTTTTAACCGTAAAAATCTAGAAAATTTGTCGACATTATCACTTTACACAGAATTTCTTCTTCAAGCATTAATGAAAGAATATTTTTTCAGGAACTGAAGACGCGTGCGTGGGTAACCCTTGCAAGAACGGAGGAGGATGTAAACCAACGGATGACGGGAAGTCCTTCACGTGCTCCTGCACGGCAGAATATGGGGGAGCATCGTGCGAAAAGGGTAGGTTTAGGTGCTCATAATCCATGATTACTTCCTGCATCAATTGAATCTTTTAAATTTACCACAACGTGTCTATCCTAAATGCACGTGCATGGGTTGCGCGTTGTTTTTTGTAATATTCTCCTTGATGCAGATAGTATCTTTTGGTTACAGAAGGAATTCACAGATCTTAGACGCCTCTTTTTTTCTTTTCCCTTTATAAATATATGTTCTTTAAAAAAATTGGTAATTTTTTAACATTTATCACAGAAGTTTATTCCATGTCCACGTACCTTATCTATTGTCTTTCATGTTCACAGCTCTCACCATAGAAGAAATCTGCAGGAGTCGGTCCTACTATCGCGCTGCCCACCCCCAATACTGCCAGCTGTACTACGACTGTTCCACCAAATACACCAGGGTTCCTACTTACTTTGAACAACACATGCGCGAATGCAGATATCCTCAACTGTTCTCGGAGAAAACGTTACAATGCGAGAATTATACAGAAGTGGATTGTGGAAACAGGACAGAATACAAGTCTGCCTGTATGTATCTGTGAATTAGTGAAAACTTCTGTATGTAACGAATACTGGTGTTACAAAGATTGACAAAGAACGTATTTATGTTTCTTAGATTTTGCAAGTCGTAATGCATTTGGTTATGAAAAGTATGTATTTAATGTTCCTAAAATTATACCGGTATAAAAGAAGGAAATAGAGTAAGTCCACACAGTTTGATGTTTTAAAGCTATATATGGCGTATTTTTGATAAATTCAGATTATTAACCAAAATTGAAAAGGTCGTTCTATTTGTTTCATTTCTTTATATATAGGACTTTTCTGTAAATTACACAATTCAAATCAATCACGTTTCATAAATATCAAAAATTCAAAACAATAACCGATTTATTTACCAACTCCACAAAAATAATAGAGATTTGAAAAACTCAGCCTTAATTTGATCGCGCTACACTATATTTAGATAATCAACAAAAATGAGAAAGAGGGTCATAAATATATGTGTATTTCTAATATATACAGACATTTAATATATATATATATATATATATATATATATATATATATATATATATATATATATATATATATATATATATATATATATATATATATATATATATACACACACAGGTAACTACCTTTCAAGCCGATGTGGGTCTTCACATTGCCTGCCATGTTCACTACGTCATCCAAGCTGCGAGGGAAAAGAAGATGGCGTGTATCAACATGGCTACAAGACCGAGTCGCCGTGGTTCATGGTCTGCAAAGATGAGAGATTTGTCTCTGATGGGCTGTGTCCGGTGGATCCTATTTTAAGAGTGGAGTCACGCATTTACAAAGGAGAATGTAACAGCTTGTACCACATTCCCAAGGACCAGGGAGGAATCATGCCCGACTGCTCGGGTCTACAGGATGGAAACTATAAAGATGAACAAGGAAATTCGGATGTTTACTACACGTGTAACAGAGGAGAGACTTTAGTGTCGAGGTGTCCGGCAGGTCACGTGTTTGATGAGAGTGAGCGAGTCTGCAGAGAAGAGTGATAAGATAGGATTTTGTGATTCAGGAGAAAATTGTTTATTTGAATAAAGAATGTTTATTTGATTAAAGACGGTAATTAAAAAAAACATTTGTTTAATTAAATCATTTTGTGATTGCTTTTAATTCTAAAACTGGTGAGGACTATTTTAAAAGCATTGGGGGAAAATATATGGATTATTTAAAGGGGCATAGACACAGATTTGAAGTTAATATTTTTTCAATTTTTTCTGTATAATATCATGACTTATAATTATGTTGCTATAGCATTTCACACGGAAATATAATTAAAAAGACTTGTTTAATCTGGAAATTATTAAAAATAAGAATTTTGAGACGCGTTTGATTGATACATCCTTGCTCTTTCACAAAGTTAACTTTATCCTTAATAATTAATACTTAAGAAAAGTAGAAATTTTATTGTGTATTAATGAAAAATATTAAAACTACAATCCAGAAAATTCAGAGTAGAAATGTGAGAAAGCAAAACCAACTTACCAGTATTGTCAGTCCGTGCTCAGTGATGTGTGCAAAGTTTTACAAATTGAACACACCCGGTGAAACGTAAACATTAACAATAACAGAGCTCGTGCCCTGTTTACAAAAACAGTTTATGTTTCCCGGTTGTGTTCAATTTTTTAAACTCTGCACACATCACTTGTGACCTTTTTATTTTAAAAAAAAAAAGACTACAAGAAAGAATTATGTTGCGAACCAATTTTGAAACTTTTGAAATTTCTAAAACATTGCTGTGATGTCATTCCTTCATATTTGCAGCCTAAAAAAATAATCTTTGGCAGTCTGATATTAAGTGTAATATCAGAGTCATAGTACTGGTATCCTTCAGCATTGAACTGTTACTGCTTCATTGATATTGCTTAACGCTGAGCCGGCAATATCTCAGCCATATTTCGGCGGAAAATTATGTTCATATTACCGGTGTTTGAAAGCTTTTGATTTCTCTGGCGATCCCCAGTGAGCCTACTCTTTTTCAAACTTTTGCCAAGGACTTGTAACCCTTGGAACACAATTTAACTGTAAACAAAAGAAATAAATTTAGCAAACACTTCCATTAAAGTTAAATCTTTTACGTACAATGATTTTTGTAAATCAAAACTAGCTCAATCCCGCGAAAGCGCAAGGTGTTGAATTTGTACTACTGGTAACGGGGAAGGTTCTATTATTATTTAACGACAGTCTTAAGCAAGAAAAAATATATATTTACATCCACTGAACATGTTCTCCTTTATTTCTAAAGAAAACCATTGCCGTTTATCAGTTCATGAACAACACTAGGCATATCACCTGTACGGATTTCTTGATCAGTGGCTGTTCCATCAATGAAACATACTATGGCGTACATATCAATAATACAATAATTAATCTTTTTAATCCTACTTTTAATGATTGTTTATACAGATATAAAAATAAACAATAAAATGTCTTTCTTTGGTTGTTAGTACGGGAATTAACGTCGCAGCTATTGCAGAAAAATTATGTATTTTTTCTGCAACAGCTGTGACATTAATTCCCGCACTAACAACAAAAGAAAGCATTTTATTGTTTAAATAATCCTTCAAAATTCCTCAGTTATTGGAAGCAGGAGTAGATACTACGTGTAGTATACGTCGACTGTTTTTAGGGGATGGGATGCGCGGATCTAAAGGGGGGTCCCCCCCTTCCGAAATTTTCAGAGCTAAATTACCTTAGCACCCCTAGGAAAAGCAAACCCCTTTTAAAAGGTAAAGAGAGTTATATAACTGAAGAAAATTGACTTAGAAGACGTCTCCTCCTCCCCCCCCCCCCCAGAAAGAGGATTTCCAGTTTTGGGCAGGTTGTTTTGGTTTTTCAGTTGATGTGTCCCCCCCCCCCCCCCACACACACACACACAAACACTTGGATAGGCTTTATTACTCATTGATAAAGCTGTTTTTATTTATTTATTTTAACGGCTTTCGGAAAATGTGAAAACTTTGAAGGGAAGAATGTGCATCAGTTTTACTGCACGTATTTGAACAATTACATATTCATTAGTAGATATTTTTTTCTTTACAAGTAAGCAACTTTATTTTTGATACGTGTTATATACATACTGTACTTTGGATTCGCTTCACTGATTCTGTTTCCATTACCATGAAGAATAAAAAGAGCGAATGTACTAATAAATTGATTATTGTCATGCAGCATAGCTGAATATTTCCTCAAAATTTAGCATTTTTTGATAAAAGTGTAAGATTATGTGTCTAGGTAGAAAAATATATTACAAATAATTTTGGATATTGGGCTACTTCATTGGACCACCACAGATGATCATGGCAGCCATTTTTCAAAATGACCGTCAAAAGCCACATTTACAAGCATACTTCCCTAAAACTGTAGCAGCTACCGGATTAAGGAATTTATAAATATATCTATATATGTAGAGATCTTTTAAGCTCATCTTACTTAAGACTCAAGCGAGTTTGTCCATTGCCTGTCTTTGTTGCTGTCGTTGTTGTCGGAATCTTCCTTTATATTCTCTCAAATTACCGGCCAAATTTCAATCAAACTTGCTTTAAGCATCCTTGAGTAAAGGGGATGCAAGCTTGTTCAACTCAAGGGCGACTCATCTTTCAAGAGGAGGTAATTGAGAAATAATGAAAATTTGATGGATTAATTTTTTAAAAAAGATCTGCCCAAGAACCACTTGGCCAGAAAAGTGAAAAACTTAATTATGTAAAAGGCTTCTAATGTAGTGAATATTCAATTTTGTTCAGATCATAGCCCCTGGTGGTAGGACGAGCCACAATGAGTTATTAAAGTTTGCAGTATGAATATCTAAGGGTAGAGACTTTGAAAATCTTCTCAAGAACAACTTGTTAATGATATAAATTGAAAGTAGGTCAAACTTCAAGATCAAGGACATGGGGTCAAAATCTATAGTAGATTTGAAATGGTTTTGTCACAGGTAATGTACTTATGTAATAAGAAAGCCCTACCTTTTCTCATTCAAATGTTATGACCAATTTAAAAAAAAATGTTAAAATTTTTGAAAGGTAGATCAAACATCAAGGTCAAGGACAAGGGAGCAAAATCAAAGTATGTATTTTGAAGGGTCTTGACACAGTTAATGCACCTGTCAAATGTTAAAGCCCGATCTTTTCTCAATCAAAAGTTAATGCAAAGATAAAATGTTTGAAAAGTAGGTCAAACTTCAAAGTCAAGGTCAGGGGGTAAAAAGTCATAGTATATTTGTATAGGTCTTGTCACAGGTAATATACATGTATACTATGAAAACCCTATCTTTTCTCATTCAAATGTATGACGAATTTCAAGTAATGTTCAATTTTTTGAAAAGTAGGTCAAACCTCATGGTCATTGTGTCAAAAATCATAGTACATTTGGAAAGTTCTTGTCACAGGTAATGTACATGTGAAATATGAAAGTCCTCTCTCTTCTCATTCAAAAGCTATGACCAAGGATAAAGTTTTTGTGACGGACAGACTGACAGACAGACGAATGAAATATAATGTCCCCTCGCTTTCGCGAAAGCGGAGGATTAAAAGAGAAGTTCGTCTAAAAAGCAACATGGTCTAGTTTACTTAGGTGAGCGTTGTGGCCAATGGACTCTTGTTAAACGTAATTTCATCGGATTCCTTGATGAGAATGGCTGGGTTTACTAATTCATCAAGTCGTCTTTAAAAATGGATGTTACACAACGATGAAATTAAATGACAATGTTTTGAATAAGATATATGCCGAATACAATTCTGTATGAAAAATTATCAGGGGTTAAATTTCGGTTTATATTTCAATACAGAACTATATTCGTCCAAATTTGTCCGTTGTCTGTCGTCGTTATGGTAGTCTTAAACTTTTTACAAATTCATCCTCTAGGCTACTCCATAACCACTGGACCAATTTCAACCAAACTTGGTACAGAGTATCTCTGGTTGAAAGGGATTAAAGATTATTCAAATAAAGGGCCACACCCTTTTTCAAGGGGAGATAATACAGAATTAGTGAAAATTTAATGGCATCTTTTAAAAATTTTCTCCTCAAGAACCACTATGTCAGAAAAGATAAAACTTATTTGGAAGCTTAATAACATGTGAAAATAAGTTTATTAATCATGAGCCCTGGGTCTAGGGTGGGGCCACAACAGCTGATCAAAGTTATACATAGGAATTTGTTATACCCTTATAAATATCTTTCTATATATTTATTACTAATAAAAAGTCCAACAAAAGAAATGTTTATTGCATCGGTCTAACAATTTCATTGTTGACCGGTCTGCCAGTCCAACATAAGAATTGTTATAAACCGCAACGTCACTGCTACGTCACAAGTAATAAATCGTCGTTCAATATCGGCGACACGGAAATAGCCGAAGTTTAGAGCTGCAAGAGTGTCGTTTGCTATATGAAAGAGTATGTTTAAGGACTAACTGTCTAATTTTTTGGTTTCATGATGTGATCAATCGATTGGCTTGCGTGATAATTTGCATAAACGCCGAAGGCGTTTATGCATAAAATTATCACGCAAGCCCATCGATTGATCATCGTCATGAAACCAAAAAATCTGACAGTTATTCCTTATATTTACATGCTCTTGATTCTGCAAATTCACGTGCTACAAGCCCCGCTTCTGTCTCTATTTGTCCCGCCCCGCACGTGATTTTTTTTTCACCACGCCTATCGATGAACCAGTAGATTTATGTAGAAATAAAGTATTTTTACTATTTGAAATTTTATCTCGGACAAAGACATTGGAAATGTAAATATTTTGTGATGAATAATTTTTGTGATATAATAATTTTATTTTTATTTTTTTCATTCTCTCCTATTGTTTTATTCGTATTGATCAAGCCAAAATTTTCTCAAGAAAGTAATTGATTATATATCGATTAAATCTGTTCAAATGTTTTCATTTCAATTGTTCTATCTGATATCTGAAGTGAAGGGTATAACAAAACAGTTATAGACTGGGTATGAGGGTAACATATGATTTGTTGGACCTGAAGGTG